AATCTGCAAATAACATTGAGTTAAGACCGGCAAAAAAGCTCCTTTAGTAAAATTGTCGATATACAACAATTTATCAATTAAGGAAGAAAATAAAAAAGGAAGAAAAAAATTTTAAAAAAATTTAAAATACAATTTTCAGCCAGAAAAAATATCGCTTTAACAATTTGTTTCATTCTAATTTACATTATCAAAATAAAATCAAGGTGAGCCTACTGAATGCCCACAATAAGCCTACGATTGAAAAAATATATAAAACTTTACGAGAACTCAAACCTAGAGAACGGAATACAACACAGCAACATCAACATAAACCTTTTGATTAATTATTTGCACCTGAAAAACAAGAAAAAACACGAACACAAAAAAAAACAATCCAAGACACTTTTTTTGCAAAAATTTCAAACTACGTTCAAACCCAAATATTGGATTGCAACACAATGACAACAACTAGAAACTTGCAGATATTTTCATTTAACTTTTTTTTCTACTTATTGAAAAAAATTGTGAACAATAAAACGATTTAAATTTTTTTCAAATTCTAGGTCAATATTGCACCAAACATTCCAAAATTTTTTTACAAGCGTTAATTTCTCGAACAACATTGGTTTCAAAAATTCGGAATTTTGCCGCAGGTTTGCAACTATTTTTAAAGCGGTTAAAGCATTTCTAAAGCATTACCCAATGAGGGGATCAATGAAAAAAATTATCGAAATTTCAGTGGGTAAATTTCAAATTCCCTAAAATGTAATTTTTGCACATAAACAAAAATTAAGTGGTTGCTCAATTTCTTGTTTTCCACTAGTAGCTTAATCTCACTAATAAGCTTAAAAAACTTGGGCCCACGGCTCTGCAGATGCAAATTTAATTTTCTTGGAGCAAAAACAGCTCAAAAATAATCAGTTCATGGACCATTAATATCTTATGCTGACTTTATTCTGCAACATATTTGAATTTGAGTTATTATCCTGATTATTTTTTTTTTGCATAATCAAAATCTAGTAAAACGTCTTGAAGTATGTGGAACAATATAGTAGCAAATTGAATCTTATCGACTAACATTTTTTACATATGAAATAAAATACCTAAGCAAAATCGAACTGGGTACAAAAAATTTCATTTAAGAAATAAACCGACATTTCTTTCATAGTTAAGATTTATTTTTTACACTATGTTGCGCGGAAGCTGACTCATTGTAAACAAATAGCTTTCTAATTTTCTACTATGATAAACCCCATACCCAAAATTAAGGCGTTTTAGTTAATAATTTTGGGATCAATTTTTCTGAACTTTCAGTACGCCAAGATACATTTCATATCTATTAAAATTTACTTTACCGAAGAAGTTTTGTCTCCTGATACTTTAGGTATTGTTCGCATGACATCAGTTGCACTTTAGATCTCATGGTTTCTCTTTAGCGCTGAAACCTAATAAAGTTTAGACTGGTATAGTTCTGCTTAATTACAAGCAGTAATTGAAACAGCAAACTGAAATTTACACAAATTCAAAGCTGTGCTTCGCAAACACTTGCGAGAACAGGACCAAAAAGCAGTTCTATCAAGTGACACAAGAGAAAGTAGAAATAAGCCTCGAAAAACTCAGGCTTAGCAAAAACTCGAATTAGCAAAAATCTGCGACCTAGCAAATTTGAGTCTCACACACTAACCAATCAGCCACGGATGCTTTAGATCTCCGAAACTAGCCACCAATAATGCAGCTACAGATGCTAATAAATTGCCAATTCGATGCAGCAAAAATAGCATCAAATACAAAAAGATACAAATTTGCAGGTAAAAAAATTGCAAATGATAAAGCCACATTATGTACAAATATGGAATTTCAAAAAATTGCGAGATATATTGAGTTACAAAATTTCTGAAATCGAGACATTATTGTTATGTTGTTTGAAACAAATAGCTTTCTTCGGTTCACTTGATGAATTAAAAATGAATTAACTGTGTAAATTCATAACTATTCGAATGTCAAAGCACGTGTTATCAATAAGCTGTAAAGGTGCAACTAAATTTCAAAGGTGCAACCAAATATCAAAATACCTTACTGCCAAAAAATATCAATGCAGCAAACTCGACGCCGCAAATATTGTTGCTTTTAATCCTAACAAAAACTGCGACTTAATGGCCGCAACAAAAGTCGCAACAATATTTGCGACTTAGGCTGGAAAAAAAGAAAGTTCGTACTAGCACATTGCTTCGCAAGTGTAATCACAGAACAAATTTATAAACTAAATGTTATTAAGCAAAAAGTAAAAATCTTGTATTCTATTTTAAATAGTCAAATTCTATTGGGGACTAATTGATGGTAATGCCCCGCTTGCGTTTTTAAGCATGAGTTATCAAAGCAGAGCTCAGAAATTATCCCAGTTAAACAACTTGTCTGAGAGAATCAGAATCAATGAATCATTTCCGGAAATTTGTTTTTTTTTGTCAGCCAACCGATAATTTTTGAGCATATTTAACTTTAAATTATCTCAGTTGAATTCAACAATTGATACTTGTTTTCCATATACCAACTCGAATTCGGAATCAATTTTTGATTTTTTCAGCTTCAAAAAACTCTACCCGTTTCATGTCGGCTTGGTAGCCTTATACAGCGAAAAAAATAGTATATGTGAACTTTGAGGGTTGACTTCGAGAGCTGAAAAAAATTTGAACGAGGTTTTATTTCTTTTGTGAAGTTCACATTCGATTTTGGTCGTTCTTCTCTCGGCCAATTTTTCATGCTAAATTTGTGCTGTATCGCAGGCGGTGCAAAACTTCGCCTCGCTTCTGCGTATTGAAAAATTGCCAATTTTGTTTACAACAATTTGAAGCACTTTCATATGACCAAAAAGCTTCCCAAATAAGTATATCTCGAAAATATATCGAAAGTAACAACTAAATGCAGTGGTATAGTAACACTCCGCTTTCTTTCAAATAAAAATTGATAAAAGTTAAGGTAATTTTATTGAAAAACAAATTTGCGTAATTTGTATCATAACACAACAGCAAAAAAACTCTTATTGTAACAAAGAATAATTACATATCGAATGAGTGACTTAGTTAAAAACCCCAAGTAATGGACTTTCTTAATTTAAGAGATATTAATGATTGATTTCAATAGAGGCCAAGCTGTGCGTCACAAACACAAACGAGAAAACGACACGAAGTAGTTCTAAAAATTGAAAGAAGAAATATATCCTCGCATTAGAAGCACTTTTGCAATTGTCGTAATTGAACCTGTGACCTTGAGATTTGCAGTCTCAAGTCCTTGCATCTGCGCCATTGGCAACATTAGTTACCTGACAATAGCCACTGATAAATCAGAGAACAGATGCTATCAAATTTCCAATGCTCGAGATCATGATTATAAAAGAGCAACCAAATTAGTACAATTTCATTTGCGAAGTAGGTTGGGAAAAATTAGAGGTATCACTTATAAACTGCGCTCACCACTACGCTTGTATAAGCAAAATGGAACACATGATACTTAAAAAAAGATAAATTTTTCTTTCAGATTGAAATTTGAAACTGCCAACGCAGTAAGGGATTGCGCGACCAATACAGTAGAACAGAAACCCAAAACCAAAACAGAAAAAAAATTAAACTTTTGCCTGAAAAGTTGTTTAAGCAGAGGAAGTACTCGGAAACTTTCATCTAGCGGCAACTAAGCCGACAAAAATTGAGTAAGCTTCGGTTGAGTCGAAAACAAAATTGATGTCAATAAAAACGAATGAATGTTCAGATAGTCCTATTTTTACCCACCCCAACCCCCACCGTAAGCACATCCTTGAAAAGAAGCAGAACTAAGTCACTTAGCCGATGGAAAATAAGCCGAACCATAAAAACCATATGAAATTTCAGCAAAATACAAAAAAATCAGATTGCTGGCAATTTTATTATTGGATTTTTCCCAATTGAAAAAAAAAACAAGTCCTTGCCAGATTCAAACATAGGACCTTTGCCGTACCAGTCAAGGTTGTTACCTCTAGGCCATGCGTGCGGAGAAGCTGAAAACATTTATTTACTAAGAACCCAGCTATCAAATAATTTAACTGATTTTAATTAACAATTTGTTACCCTCAAAAATAAAGTCCCATGTTCCGATTTGATAACACTTGCTAATCGCAAGCGTTAGAGCCCACTTTTAAAACTTAAGTCACTTTTCCGCTCCATTTGAACTTTCGTACTCAGAGAACTTAATTTGCCTTGCTTTTTCCAAATGCATTAAACGCCACTTAAAAAAAATGAAAAGTGAAACCGCGAAAAATCAATTTTCAGCTTGAACTAATGTTAGGACTTTTCCTTGAACAAAATCAACACTATTATTTTAAGTACTTTTTTACTACATTTATTTAAAGTAAAATGCATCAATTTGTTTCATTGCGAAATATATTGATTTAGCAGTGCACTGCTATCAAAAAGTCATGCCTTAGCGGGTGTGGGATTCGATAGGAATACTTCAGACGGAACTACAAAGCAAAGAATTCTGATAAAATTGCCTTGCTGCGAGTTGTCATTTTTTATTGTTACACACTGTCGTCATGCTTTTTTGATGAAATAACCCAATTTCAGAAATATGGATCGATAAGTAAACTTTTGATTCCGCTGGGGAATCTGACCATTAAAATCTACTTTCGAAACGATAAGTTGATCACGTTATGGAAAAAAAAACTGAACTTAAAAATCTACCAAAAAACCAATCGCGCAAGACCAATCGCGTCTTAATATGCATATTATATTCAACTAAACTTAAAATGATTGAGGTTAACATTATAACAGCCTTGATCGTTTAATGGAACAACTGACAAACTCATGCTACCCAACGCTAATTTACTGACAGTTGAACACGGCCGAATGGTCGAACATTATAGCGGAAAATAGCTAAATTTGGTTAGAAAAAAATTTAACATGGCGTCAGAATATCGAATTTTTTTCTTATCTGAATTCTATCAATATGCTATAAATTCTCAGATTTCATTAGTTTTAGTACAGGTGAAAAGGATCTTGATATCAGAATAGTCAATTCTTTATTACCTGTTGAAGTATTTTGTTTTATCAATACGCTAAAAGTGTGCAGAGTTTATTAGTTAGTACAGGGGACCGTCAATTCAAGTCTCTTTCAATATATATCACCACTTCTTATTCATTTCAGGTTCTCTAGGGTAGAGTAAGTGCGCCTAGTTTGTTCAGCCCCACTGCCAGGGCTTGACACTTTTGGCGGCGCTGGTGAGGTGCAGTCCCTTGTACTGGTATTTCTCAGGCAGATCGTACTTGTCGAAATAGTTCTGTTCAGCGTCTTCCAAGCACCTATCATACTTGTTCACTGGAACAAAACACAGCCAACACTATATTATAGAGCTGCAAATAAATTCAACCATAAAAATAACTACTTACTTAATAAAATTATGTTATTCCAGACCAGTTCTCCGGCATTTAATATCATAAAATGTTTTTTTTTACGATAAACCCAAATAGTTCCAAAGTGCTCTAAAAATTACATAGCTATTTGAGAGACAAGAACTTACGCAGCTATTTGAAAGACAATAACTCATAACTTCAATTTAAATAAAGGAAACGTTGTTTTTTAAGACGGTGCCCAAGTAACATTTTTTGAATAAAGCAACAAAACAGCGAATAAGCACTAATTTATTAAATCAGCGATTTTCGTAGTGTGACATCTAAAATTCAGAGACTTTTTTGATACTGAGCAGCGGAACCTCATCATAATTGCCTCCATCATTAATTTAATACATTGAGCAAGTGACTAAACTTTTTGACCACAGCTAAGTAGTTTCATAGCTCAGGTCCCAAAGGTTATCGAGACCTTGCGTTAACCAATACCATTGACTTCGAACTTTTTCCCCTAGAATGAATTGCAATGAACACTTACGGCCCAAGTTTTTGTTTTCACTCGTTTTGAATGTTTTCTTTACAGCATTCTCCCAGTCATCTTCCCACCTGGGCTTGGTGTGGATCTCAGCGGCAACAGCTGCAAGAGGAAAAAGATATAATTTAAGAAGCTTTTTCAACATGGGAAAGGAAAAGACCAACATAAGAGCTGTTCAGCTCTTCACGGAGGCCCGCTGCTATGCCCCTGCATAAGAATTACAAGCAAGTTTTTGGCTATTTTTTCTGGGCTGGGTAACGTTGCCTCACTCTGAAGAAGAAAACATTGATAACCGTTTGCTAAGTAAGTAACACAAATGTTCCCACCACAAACATCGAAAAAGAACATTTTTCAAAATCAGTTTCAAAAACATTTTCTGGAATTTAAAAAACATTTTTTTTTTAAACAAAATTAAAGCACACATGTTTAAATGTCCATTTGAAACAAACATACTAAAAAATCGTTCAAACGTTTTCAAGGTTTTTAGTGAGAAGAAACGTCTCCTCTTTTCACTAAAAATGAGTCTGAATAACCAAAAACACAGACTAGCTTTCCTTGAGGCACCTAAAATTGGACGAAAAACCCAATCTCCACTATAACTCATTCAAGTTATTTCAGTAATGTGGTCGGAACAATAAGCAAATTGCAAAAAAAGCTCAATTTGTGAAATATAACCAACATAGTAGAAAAAGGGTCAGTCAACTTAAGAAAATTATTGTTTTATGAATATAATCTTTTACGATTGAGAGTTTTTTTTATAAAACTAACTAATCCTAATTTGAGAAATAAAGATCAATATAAAGAAAAATTCCGCTGGAAATCTAAAAACCATTGGGGGGAATTCGCGTTTTTACCTCTATTTGCTCTTTTGAATACTTACACTCGGGGCGGATCTAGGATATTTTCGAGGGGGGGGGGGGGTAGATTTTCAAAAGAAATCGAAAATTTTGTCGACCTTTTTTAAGGCGACCAAACTGATTTTCGGAGCTTTCCCAAATTGAGCGTTTTTGAGCACTTTTTGGAAAATTTTTACCAAAAAATTGCGTTTTTTCGGCGCGCGCTTCCCCTGAAATTTAGTATATATTGGCGCCGAAGGCGATTTTTAGGGTCAGTCAGCCAAAAAGGAATATCTCAAAATAGTACAAAGGGGGGCCTTTGTCGGCAGGGGGTCGAATCCCTGAGGGAGGGGGGCGTCCGCCCTCCCTAAATGCGCTGGTGTTTATACTTACAAAATATCTAAATCCCATCTAGGACAATAACACCAAAAGACCAGTTAGCTGTCTAGCGAGTGCTGTCTTTATTTAATGAAAATCATGACAACTTTTGCGAATCTAGAACTGAACAAAAATGTCCAAACACAGCTCATTGCAATACTCACCGTCCCAAATGATCTGATCTCGCTTGTACAGCTTGTATCGATCCCTGATGTATGTCATGTAGTAATAGTAGCAGGCAGAGCTGCTGGCTCCTGCAGCCAGGGCTCCAAACCAGACCAGTTTGTAGTGCCTCCAGAACAAGCCTTTCAACTGCGGCTTGGGAAGTGAGGACATTTTGATCTGAAACAATGAACATTACGCAGTTTAACATTGTAGTGTTGGTCATCAAACATTTTAATGCTTAGGTTTCTAATGGCAGATACATACAACGCATATAATGAAGCGCCTGTAAAACGCAAATCGAAATTAAATCAAAAACCAGTTCTTAACAGCAAAAACAATATTTAAAACATTTTAAAATTACATTGGTTCCATAAAATAAACTCGCTTCAACCCACTGCAAAAAATTAACTCGCTTAAATATTTCCGCTAAACCCTAAATTTTTCATAAGGCGGCTTTAGAAACTAATTTTGGGAGAGGAGAATTTCAAGGTCAAACCCCCTAAAGAAGTGCCTAAAAATCTTTTAAAATTTTGGAAGAGGAGCTCGAAAACCAAATTTGCTCGAAAACCAAATTTGCTCGAAAACCAAATTAAATCCCTCGTCAAATTTTCAAAAATAAAATTTTGGAATCGCCTCGAGAACACTAAGCCCACACCATGTTGTTAGTTGATTCTTAGTTTTGAAAAGTTGCCACCAAAAACCAAAATTAAGCATACCACTTTTTTTCAAAATGTCTTTTAAACGTACGAATAAAAACAACTAGCGTTTAACGCACCTCCAGTGCTTCGAAAATTTTCCACAATCCATGAAAAACCGCATATATTGGAAACAACATCTGCAAAATTTGTGTACTCTGACTGAACCCAATTACAGGGTTGGTAATTTCGAACTTTTTGATTCCCATTTTAAAAGCGTCATCTCGAAAACTTAATGAGCCTTCGAAGAAACTTGGAGGCCAGATTTTCAACCACTGAGAGTCCCTGAGAGTACCCTACTATAGGGTTAGGAATTCAAAATTTTGAAAAATAATTAATTTAAACTTTCCGAAAATTTTGAAAAATAATTAATTTAAAATTTCCGAAAATTTTGAAAAAATCACAAAAAACGTCACATCTCGAAAACTACAAAGTATTGAGCAGTGAAATTTGGAGGCAAGATTCGCAATCCTTGATAGTACTCTGACAGTACCCAACTACAGTGTTGGGAATTTCAGATTTACAAAAAATAATAATAATAATTTAAGTTTTCTGAAAAAATCACAAAATACGTCACATCTCGAAAACTACACAGAATTGAGCAGTCATACTTGGAGGCAAGATTCGTAATCCTTGAGAGTACTCTGACAGGACCTAAGTACAGGGTTGGGAATTTCAGATTTTTAAAAAATAATAATTTAAATTTTCTAAAAATTTTTTGAAAAAATCACAAAAGACGTCATATCTCGAAAATTACAAAGAATTGAGCAGTCATATTCGAAGGCAAGATTCGCAATCTTTGAGAGTACTCTGACAGGACCCAACTACAGGGTTGGGAATTTCAGATTTTAAAAAATAATAATAACTTAAGTTTTTTGAAAATTTTTGAAAAAATCACAAAAAACGTCATATCTCAAAAACTACAAAGAATTGAGCTGTCATATTTGGAGGCAAGTCCTGCAACCCTTGATAGTACTCTGACAGTACCCAAATACAGGGTTGGGAATTTCAGATTTTAAAAAATAATAATAATTTAAGTTTTTTGAAAATTTTTGAAAAAATCACAAAAAACGTCAAACCTCGAAAACTTCAAAGAATTGAGCAGTCATATTTGGAGGCAAGACTCGCAATCCTTGATAGCACTCTGACAATACCCAACTACAGATTTGGGAACTTCAAGTTTTGGAAATTATTTTGTTAATTGAAATTTCTGAAAATTTTTTTAAAAAATCTCAAAAATCGTCTTATCTCGTTTACTTCAAGCTTTGTATTTAAATGATTCGAGCATTCAAAATTGGAGGCAAAATTCGCAACCCCTAATTCGATTTTGGGCTGCTTAATTCAAACTCGGTAAAATAACCACTAAAATCAAATTGGAAAATCGAAAAAAAAATTCTTAACCATTGCAACATACGATATAGCTTAACCATGCAAAAATAATACGTTGAAAAAGCTTAAACATGGTGAGATAGTGAACCCCGCATTTAAACATATTAATAGATAGATAGATTAATGATATTTGATAAAACATCATATGAAAACATATTTTAAAACTCGTGAGAAAAAAACTGTAATCCAATCTCTCCAATTGAAATCGTCTGTAAAACGCAAATATCAAGAGCCATCACTCGTAGAATCAAACTCAAGTTTTGTACCGCTAATTTTAAAAAAAACGCAACCAAGAAAATTCAACAACTTTTACAGCGATTCTAAGGTTTTATATGAGAAGAAGTAAACTAATACCACTATCTCTTTTCTTGAGCAATTATGCTGACCCCCATCTTATCAGGCTTTTGGGAATTTTTTCGTAACTCGAATCGGGGGAATTGTATTTTCCTGAAGTAATGAACAGAAGCGTCATTACTAATGCTATTTATGTTTGAATGTATAAATCAGGATACCTTAATTTAAATCATTGATTTAAAACCGACTTTAATCAGAGGTTTTGTTCGATTTAAATCAAAGGTGGGAATCTCAGATAGTGGCGTGTTTTTTCCGCCAATTAGTCGCCAACTCTTACCCATCAGTTCTGTAAAACTGGTCTTTTGTATGTTTCTGAACCAAAATTGAAACTTGATCATTTCTTTCCATAATACCCTTCATTTCAATAAAATTTCTATCACTTCTTTTGGTTTTTCTAAGATACTCGGCAGTTTTTGAAGAAATCGGATTTAAATTCAAAAAAATCCGATTTATTTGGTTTTTAAATTAATTTGGATTTTTATGCAACCCTGGTTGTTGCAGCCTTACTTAAAAAATCATTAAAATATCACAAATCCACTCTTGCTGTTAAGTCTGAAAAACAAAAATATTCAAACCAACTTTTCTCGACACCAAAAAAAAACGTTTTTAATAGTTTTTCATTAGAATCTGATCCATAACTGAGAGCGAAAAACAACTGGATCCAAAATTTCTTTTAAAATTTAATAATCGGGACAAAAATTTTAGAGGAACACTCCAGGAAATCTTTCACTTTAATTAGTAGATGCGTTTGATCATTTCGGAAATCCTACACTGAAAAGCAAAAAAAATTGAAGTCAATCAAAACTAGAATCTGAAATGAATTCTAAACCATTCCGTGAAACAAAACCAATACTGTACTTAAAAACGTAGTACCTCCTATCATAATGAAAAAGAAACATTTGATGAACCTGTGAAAAAGTATAGGGAAAACGACAAACTAAAGCACAGAATTGAAATTGCACCTACGCAAACAAGCAAGAAAGCAGCAAAAGGAAGCTTCAAATTGGGAAACTACAACGCAAGCACTGCATTTCAAGCTAGCAAATAAAAATCTAGACGAAAATAACTAAACCGAAAAAAAAACAAGGACAGCCGGCTACTGTGCAAGTAGCACAGAATGTTCCGACCATAGTCTTTAGAAAACTACGATTTCGAAAGTTTTTATTCCAAATTAGTGTAGTTTTTTCTGATTGGAGTGATAAAAGGATCTGACGTAAAATAAAATTTAGGCACATTAGACAGTCAGAGTAATATAGTCAAATTGCAAAAAAAAATTGTAGAAAAAGGACTAGAAAAACTAAAAAAATATATTAAAAACTTTATTTCATATTTTTTTTGCAGAATTTTTTTGAATTTTTTATGTCTTAAAATGAGGCTGAAAAACTTCAAGAACTAGTTTTAAGGTCCTCAATTAGGCATGATTCAGCTGTTGTGAGCCTGCTCGCTTGCTTTATTTGCTCGAATTAAGACGAAAATTCAACAATTTGACACAAGTTTTTCTCAACACAAGAAAAAAATTTCGCGCATTTTAAAAAGTGGTTCAAATCACGGCTGAAAGGGCTTTCATATGATATATCACTCAACCCAGTCCGATGATTAATTGTGGTACCTCATTTTGGTGGAAAACAGAAACGACACTAAAACACACCCGAATACGAAGTTCCATGTTTCTATGGTCAGAACAATCAGAAAAAAGTCGAGAAACACAACAGCATTAAATTAGCTTTCAGTTTAATGGAGAGATCCATGGACACTTATAAAAATGGAATGCGTAATTTGCAGTCAACTTGCGAAAGGAAATTGAGAAGGGAACTTCAAAATAGATGAAAAGAAGAAAAGAGTCAAGAAAGACAAAGGCAGCAAAAGAAACACCAAACGGCGAAAAATTTAAGGCTTTCTTGAAAATAAAAAAACGTTTAAATAAGCAAATATTTAATTCGATCGCCCTTCAAACTCAAAACTAGCTCCGATCTTAGTTTTCATTAAGCGATTCCCTCTCTAAAAACTAAAACTCCTTCAATTGACTGATTGCTGCAAGTTTTTCAAATTGGCCACCAAATCTAGGAGATCAACCTGATGTATAAGTTGTTTTTACTAACGGATAGGATAAACAATCGTGCGGCGCAAATAACCCATGTAAAATGCGCTTTCATCAGAAAAAGTGATCTGTATTTTTTCCGTAAAATATTAACTGTACCCCTGCAAGCTTTGAATGTTGAAATTACTGATTGTAGGAATGAAATTGGATACCTTCTATAAACTCTGCCATCTACAAGAAGCGTCTTATACTAATGGTGGGAAAGTTTTTACAAAAAGCAACCACATTTACCGTGACGCTTAACTGTGCACTATTTGATCTTTTCTTTAGTTCTTAATTTTGGAATCATTTAACTGACATGAAAAAGAAATGTAGAAAAAACTAAGTGAACCAAAATTTTCGTATGTCTCGATGAAGGAACCTAAGGCTCAGCTACAGCTTGAGGAACCTGTTGGATATTTTTGAAATTGTTATACTGATGCGGGACGAAATGCGTTATTTCAAAAATTGGCTTTTTCCCATGAAATAACCTTTCTCTTAGAAAAAAGGTTTAGTCGCTTCTGCAGGAGAAAGATTTGATAGAGTAATTTTTCATCTCAGATTTGATAGGTTAGTTTTTAAGACAACTTCAAAAGCTTCTAAAAAATGGTCAAGTTCAGAAATCCGCAAAGTTTTTCCGCTACAAACGGGTCGGATCT